TTTCGTTAGTGAGTCCAAATTTTGTTTTCATGCGATATGACCATCATATCCACTTTTGTTGCACAAACCTATTCTACATGTTTATTAAATAAAGCAAAACAAAATGGTTTCTAAACCAGCTCATAAAATTTGACGAAATTTTAAACAACAATGTTGTATGTTGAAAATTTTAATGTCCGCAAAAAGGTTATGAATTTCATGACAAAAATGTCTTCAAAAATAAATTTATAATATGAAAAATGTCACAATATTAGTGACAATATTATTTTACACTAATAATATTCACTACGCATTTTCGCACTAGTGTATAAAGTAAAATTTTACGAACTGGTCAACGGGAACAATAGCACCATTCGAAAATAATGGAGCTACAAAAATATTTATATTTTGAATTGACAAAAATGTAGTCAATTCTATTGACAACTGTCTGCTGTTATTTCTATTAGATCAACTTTTAACCTAGTTATATTTCCCTTAAACATTATTTAAAACCCGCCATCATTTATTTCCGAAAAAGAAACATTATCGAGCAGGGACGCGTTTTCTAAGTTCAGTTCAGCGTAAAAATATGAATTTACAAACCCCCGGTAATATTTTATTTCTATGCACATTCCTCTATCTGCGCTCATAATTTTAGAAGAAGAACTCTCCGCAGGATCGGACCGCATAATATTGTTTAACACTGTCATGCCGGACATATTGAAATGGACAAATTAAGAAAGTAAAATTCATTAGAATTAATATGTCATTCCCAATAAAGTGAATTTTAGAGACATTTACAACTTCTATGAAGTCATTAATGTATATTAAAAAGTAAATAAATTGTATGAAAAACAATAGAAAATTCCTATCAAATAAAAATTTAACCAAAATCTTTCATTATTTAAAGTTAATTAAAATCCTCCAATTAATTACTTATTTAAGTAACAAATAAAAAATAGAAAATTTAAGTGCCGATTCAATTATACAAAAAGGGGTCCTCCAGTGGACAATATTGAGTCCAATTATATTTTTAATTTATACAGGAGGATACATAGAGCTACCTCGTATTGTAGAGGTCAAAATAAGTTGTTTGGTCCTAATTTGTTTCTAGGTATACCAAAATATACCGTTTGTCCGTGAGAAGAGTTCAAAGTTTATTTAAAAATCACATTTTTGTATGTTCAAAAAGTACATTTTAGAGAATTACTCTACTTTTAGTAATCAGAGAAGCTCAAAGGAAATTGTAAAAGGGTTAAAAACACCCTCAGACCCTGATATTTTTATTTTCTCAGATGTGGCAATACGGTTCTACCCGAGAATAACCATCAAGGAGAAGCGACAGTAGCTGTCGGTGCCTTTGATATCGGATGTACCTTTTTTACAGCATGACTTTGATTGATACACAACTTAGCACGCTGAGAAAACATGCATATTTTCTACACTGAGCGAAATAGTTTGGCAAATTATCTGAAATCATTGTTATAGTCCATGCGCAAATGTTGTAATGTGATTTAATTACATTGACGTAGTTAGGGTTAATAGCAATGGTAAAATTTCGGCACCAAAATATAATTCATTATGTAATAATTAATTATTTGTTGTAAAAGTAAAAGACGTTTATTATTTTATAATTTATCTAAAAAAATTTGTTCAATATTTGGTTTATTTATTGTTAAAAATGTAATAAAAGCCTCATTTTTAAATTAAAATACCTTTTCCTTAAGTAAAAATAAGGTAAATAAAATTAAGGGTGCCAAAAAAAAATAAGGTAACAATAAAAAAGACATAAAGTTTGAGAGATTTAACTAAATATTTACAATGTGCTTATATTTTCAAAACTTTTAGGTTTAAAAAGTACTTACATATTTTTAGAATTTCTGGATTTATATTATATTAAAAGGACTTTCAAGTTTATCACTCATTTCTGTATACATAAGTGTTTTCTCGCCAAGTTAAGCTAGATGTCATTTAAGGTTTATGTATTTAGAGTTAAATACCTGGCCTGGATATCACCCAGACAATACAAATATGTCTAGACGTCCAAAAATGAGTTTTTTCTGGACTTCCGACATCCAATGGACGTCCAGTGAAGTATACAAATGGCACACTTTTGACCATTTAGAGGACGTTCAATTCTGGAATAAATTTGGACGTCGAATTGAAAAAACGTCCAGGATTATATTTCCATTGAGACCACATTTCCACTTTTTTTACAGAACCGCAACTTACAACACACTATTTTATATTATTAATAATTTGTTTATTATTTTCGCAAACCGCTATACACCATTTTTTTTTTATTAAAAATTGCTGGACCTGAGCAGGAATCGAACTCACGACACATCCATTATCGTTTTACGCTTTCAATTGCTAGACGAGCTCGACCAAGGAACCACTTGAAAACTTTTTACTAGATACAGTTATAATTGAATAAGATTTCAAACTTCCGCTGATAGAATGAAATGCAATAGATTCAATTTGTCAATTTTTAATGACCAGTTATATTAAAAAAAGAAGTATATATTATAGATGAGTATTATCTGGTAGGCTTAATAAATAATGACCTAAGATGGACGTCCAGTGGACGTCAAAATAATACTAAACTTAAAATTAAGTCCAAAAACAGACGTTCTCTGGGTATCGATATTCAGCTGTCAATTTAATTAGCATAAACGGACGTACACTAGATGCCCGGATATGGACGTCCTGACCCTCAAATAGAGCTAAAGTGGACGTACATTGGACTATGTGTGCTGTCTGGGCATAGACGAATTTTTTGAAATAGTACTTATTTAAGTATGCACCAATATTTCCAAAATCAACTCCAGTATGATTCATTCAATAAATGTAAATATGAATGGGCAAAACATCTTTATATTGACATAATTGTACCTTACAATTTAGCCATAATAAAGGGATTTCGCCCATTTTGACCAATCCTAATTGAAACACGTGGATTTATTATATTTTTTAAATATAATTATAAAAAAACAAAATCTCCAGTTCATTATTTATTAAATTTATTTAAAAGAATAAAACATATATTTCACAAAATACAATACATACATATGAAAAATAAAATGTCAAAAATAATTAAATCATTATACTTTATATTTATGCATGTGATAAAATTCTTAGTTTCCTAATAACTTTTTTGGCACATTTTATATCTGCATTAGAATACTTAAGTGTGTAAAAATCTTCATCTTATTACTACACAAAACAAACATCAAAAAATATCACTTAACATTGCTCACGTACTAAACACAACTTGGACTGACTTTGACAGATAACATCATTTTGAGTGATACACAACTTATTTTCGCACATGCGCGTTACAAAACGGTACGCTAAAAACACCAAGCTGTCGCTTCTCCTTGGATCATTATTCTCGGGTTCTACAACGATTTTACCGGTGACGGCTCGTGGCCAAAATTTTGGGGGTTCACAGTGACAGAATATAGATATCAGTACAGATGTATGAAAAAAACTTTCAGTGTTTTAGAAAGTTTATAATATACCTTTCTAAAACACTAACAGTTTTTTACCTACATCAGCTGTACCGAGAGCTATATTCTGCTACTGTGAACCCCCAAATTGTTGGTTACAAGCCGCCCCTGGTTTTCACGGAAAAGCTTACTCATCAGCTTTATTTTTTTACTCTTGCAGAAATTTTTGTAGTACTTGCATAAAAGTATATTTTATAACGTTTTTTAAAAGAAATGTACGATTACTTTATTAGGATAAATTGATGTATGTAGATAAAAGATTTTTTTTTTAATTTTTTGGAAAAAATATAAATTATGCGACCATATTTGATATTTTTCAGTTAATTATATTAACGACTCTAATGGTGTATAAAAACACGAATATAAAAAAAAACGAAGTTAAGCTATTCATCTGGCAGTAGTGAATTATTGTATGCCCATCGAAAGGGCCAGTGCTGCCCTGAAAAAAGAGTCCCAACGAGAGACTTTATATAACGAGTCCATTAACGATATTCAGCGAAGTATAAAAAGTATCAAGTTTATAATGCAGCAATTCGGGAAGTAGGTAAGTGAGGGCTTCATTGAGAGATAAAGAAAAGACAGAACACTTTGAGAGACTGCAAGGCGAACAACTTTGATATACCAAGAACTAAAGCCGTTGACTATTTGGAGAACTTGCAAATTATTAAAATAAAAGCCCGAGAAGTCTGGATTATGCTTTGTTCAGAATTATTCCCGTCTTCTATATTTGCTATGCTAAAGCATCTTGAAAATTTTCGCTAAAATCAGTTGTTTTTGATTATTCAGATGCATATTTAGTGCAATGGGTTTTTTTTTGTCTTCAATTTAGTATCTCACAACATATCACACAGCTCTGAATAATTCAATCCTTTTAAAAGATACGAAAAGTAAAAAAGAATGTTTCTTTTTTAAATTACAATGTCAAAATAAAGTACCAACTAGAGTGTCACTTGATAAAAATGGGAAAATTTTCAAATCACAAATAAATTATTTTCTAACAAATTGTAGTTGCTATTACAGAGAAATAGTACAAGAATTTTAATTAGGTTACTATTTAGATTACTATTTAGATAACTGATTACTATTTAGATTACTATTTAGATTAATATTTAGATAACTATTTAGATTACTATTTAGATTACTATTTAGATTACTATTTAGATTACTATTTAGATTACTATTTAGATTACTATTTAGATTACTATTTAGATTACTACTTAGATTACTATTTAGATTACTATTTAGATTACTATTTAGATTACTATTTAGATTACTATTTAGATTACTATTTAGATTACTATTTAGATTACTATTTAGATTACTATTTAGATTACTATTTAGATTACTATTTAGATTACTATTTAGATTACTATTTAGATTACTATTTAGATTACTATTTAGATTACTATTTAGATTACTATTTAGATTACTATTTAGATTACTATTTAGATTACTATTTAGATTACTATTTAGATTACTATTTAGATTACTATTAAGATTACTATTTAGATTACTATTTAGATTACTATTTAGATTACTATTTAGATTACTATTTAGATTACTATTTAGATTACTATTTAGATTACTATTTAGATTACTATTTAGATTACTATTTAGATTACTATTTAGATTACTATTTAGATTACTATTTAGATTACTATTTAGATTACTATTTAGATTACTATTTAGATTACTATTTAGATTACTATTTAGATTACTATTTAGATTACTATTTAGATTACTATTTAGATTACTATTTAGATTACTATTTAGATTACTATTTAGATTACTATTTAGATTACTATTTAGATTACTATTTAGATTACTATTTAGATTACTATTTAGATTACTATTTAGATTACTATTTAGATTACTATTTAGATTACTATTTAGATTACTATTTAGATTACTATTTAGATTACTATTTAGATTACTATTTAGATTACTATTTAGATTACTATTTAGATTACTATTTAGATTACTATTTAGATTACTATTTAGATTACTATTTAGATTACTATTTAGATTACTATTTAGATTACTATTTAGATTACTATTTAGATTACTATTTAGATTACTATTTAGATTACTATTTAGATTACTATTTAGATTACTATTTAGATTACTATTTAGATTACTATTTAGATTACTATTTAGATTATTATTTAGATTACTATTTAGATTACTATTTAGATCACTATTTAGATCACTATTTAGATCACTATTTAGATCACTACTTAGATCACTATTTAGATCACTATTTAGATTAGATTAGATATATAATTATTTAGATTACTATTTAGATTACTATTTAGATTACTATTTAGATTACTATTTAGATTACTATTTAGATTACTATTTAGATTACTATTTAGATTACTGTTTAGATTACTATTTAGATTACTATTTAGATCACTATTTAGATTAGATTAGATATATAACTATTTAGATTACACTCTACCACTCTTTTAGAAATACATCGAATTTCTGTAGTCAATTCTCAAAAATGTTACACGAGGAATTCTCACTTGTTTGTGAAGCTCCACCTGATGTTGATGAGATACATAATATATTTTTGAATATAATTTCCTACTATATAAATTAGACATGTCCAATGACAAAAGAAAATATTTTGGAAACAGAAGTGATACAAAATGATGAAATTTTTGAAATTGGAAATAAATTTAAAAATATGTTTTGTCATAAAAAATATTTCTGATACTTAGTCATATATTAGAACGATAAAAAGTAAAAAAAACTAGGTATGTACAAAAAATTTATCAAATAAAAATATGAACATAAACAGAAAATTGTTTGAAAGACTGTTAATTCCTAACTGAACAGACAAAACATATCTAACATTATTAAATACTGCTAATGGTACAAGATTAATAGAAAACTACATCACTAACACGTTTATACAGTGAGCACCATAAGTCTTACCCCCCCTATCTAACTCATTACTGGAGTCTTGTTAGGAAAATCGCCGAGACACGTCGATTTTTGTTTTCTACAATGTACATTTTTGTGTAAATAGTTTACCCTTAATTTCATCCCTTACTGGAGGGGAGCAACCCTTTCGAAAAATTTAAATAGCATGGGGTGGTGAGTGATAGCTCATTTGAAAGAGAGTTTTATTTTCTATTCAACCGTGTAAAAATTTTTGAAATTTGCTTCATTAATTCCCGACTAATTGTTGTTTCAGAATAACGGAAATTAACGTAGCGCACTCATCCTTAGAATTAAAATTCGGCCCTGCATGATTTCGGTTTCGGTTCAGACGTGAAGTAAGACTTTTTGCCATTAGAAGGTCACTGTTAGTTTAGTTGCTTTCCTATTTTGTGAGGTTTTGTTATTTTTAAACATTAATAAATCAACACGTAATGAAGCAAATTTTAAATTTTTTTGCACGGTTGAATAGAGTATAAAACCCCCTTTCAAATGAGCTATCACTCATTACCCACGCCATTTAAATTTTTCGAAAGGGTTGCTTCCCTCCAGTAAGGGATGAAATTAAGGGTAAACTAATCATACAAAAATGTACATTGTAGAAATCAAAAATCGACCTGTCTCGGCAATTTTCCTAACAAGACTCCAGTAATGAGTTAGATAGGGGGGGGGTAAGACTTATGGTGCTCACTGTATAATTTCTCTTCAGTTGCTAATCCAATCAAAAATCATTTTTCCAAATACTACCTTTAATGATTATACAACTAACTATGTTTATTCCAAACCCATTTCAGTTTATAGAAGTGACTTCTGAACAAGTGATACAAACAATTGCATCTCTAGAATACAAAAACAGAAGAAATCGATTAAAGAGATGGAAAAATGAAGAGAATTAACAATTAAACATAAATCCGGTTCTCGTCGTCTGATTTACATATGAATGAGCAATCCATAAAACTATATATCATTGAATCTTGCTCTTCTAGTACACAAGCGCCATTTTGGTCACTATCTGCAACCTTATTTACTGCTTTTGGGTGGACACTTTTTGAGATAAACAATCATATAAGATTGTCCTCCATTCCTCTCCACTCCATATTTACTAGTTGGAGATTCTGATGATATTGCTAATTTTGTTTCTGTTAAAATCAACAAAGTGCTGCCCACGAAATTTGACTACCGCCATTTTTTATTCAAAACAAGCAAGATTACTGTCCTAATCGCTGCTTCAAAAAGTAGATGAGACAATAATGTTCAAGCCATTCATTATCCAAGGTATGTACGCGTTCACAAAGAGCAGGATACTGTCATATCTGTGACAGAGACAGTAATAATGTCCTGTATAAACGCCGTGCTAGTATAAAGTAGCGCCTATGACGAAATTCTGATTTCAAATCGGAACGAATAGGCATAAAAGAAGACTCAATTATTCTTCTAAAATCATAAAAGATTCATTCCAATTTGTACTCCGATACACATATAACATAAAAGTTTGAATAAGATACTGCGCCTGGATGGCGTCTCTAAGATGTTCTCTAGACCATAAGCAATCCGCTTCTTCCTTTATTGCCTTCGAGACCCTTCTCGCCTTATGCAGCATATGCTTTTGAGAGTCATTCCAGTTTAATGGCATAATATTAATGGGAACTCTCTTTTATTTCTTTTAGAATTATGAGTTTCAGTCAATGTTACATAGTATGATTTTAATAATTTAATATACAGTGTGTTTTAGAAATATATTACCATACGAGGGTATTTCACTCTTGGCAATGTACGTTTTACGCAGTATAATTTGGAATTACGTGACATTAAAACGAAATTATTGCAATTTTCAAAATACAAATAAAGGATTGCCAACTGTTTCTAGTGTAATGGAAGACGTTAGGGGTAAACAATCGATAGAAATATTTATGTTGGTGCTACGACGACAATATATTTTTGTACAAAAATGAAGGAGTTAAAATACATTCTCTTGATATATCTGATGCAATTCTTTTGTGTTGACTGATTTGTTTTTCTATGTAGCATAAAGTAATAGAAATGTTCGTGTAAGGGCATTGTTTTATTTTTCCTTGAAACGTAAGTTCCATATTAGGAACATTATCCGTATTAGGTACAAATATACAAGATAAAATATTTTTCTGTGACTCCTTTATAATAGATTTAGTATTTTGAATAATAAATTATGGGTTTCAAAGGTGTAGAAAACCTACACAAAAAAACAAGGGGTGTCAAGAAGATATTTTGAATTTATTATGTTCAAAAAACAAAACGGTATTGCATATTTGACTCACTCCTCTACTTTAACATTTTAAAATTCCAGTTAAAAATATTATTTTAATTGTGTGACATCCTGTATAAAATAGTATTCGATTAATTTAAATTCAATTATCGCCGCACGCAATAGTCCTAAGAAAGGGAAATTTCGTGAAGTCGGAGTACAGTAAAGCAGACGATTTTGCCATTAGGTCTTAAAATTTCATTTTCCCGATATTATCTCGTAGTATCTACTAGTGTTAGGCTGTACAAGTGAAAACGAATAGGAGCAGCTAAAAGCTAGAACTAGAACAAGAAACTAGAACAAGAAACTAGAACAAGAAACTAGAACAAGAAACTAGAACAAGAAACTAGAATAAGAAACTAGAATAAGAAACTAGAACAAGAAACTAGAACAAGAAACTAGAACAAGAAACTAGAACAAGAAACTAGAACAAGAAACTAGAACAAGAAACTAGAACAAGAAACTAGAACAAGAAACTAGAACAAGAAACTAGAACAAGAAACTAGAACAAGAAACTAGAACAAGTAACTAGAACAAGAAACTAGAACAAGAAACTAGAACAAGAAACTAGAACAAGAAACTAGAACAAGAAACTAGAACAAGAAACTAGAACAAGAAACTAGAACAAGAAACTAGAACAAGAAACTAGAACAAGAAACTAGAACAAGAAACTAGAACAAGAAACTAGAACAAGAAACTAGAACAAGAAACTAGAACAAGAAACTAGAACAAGAAACTAGAACAAGAAACTAGAACAAGAAACTAGAACAAGAAACTAGAACAAGAAACTAAAACAAGAAACTAGAACAAGAAACTAGAACAAGAAACTAGAACAAGAAACTAGAACAAGAAACTAGAACAAGAAACTAGAACAAGAAACTAGAACAAGAAACTAGAACAAGAAACTAGAACAAGAAACTAGAACAAAAAACTAGAACAAGAAACTAGAACAAGAAACTAGAACAAGAACAAGAAACTAGAACAAGAAACTAGAACAAGAAACAGGAACAAGAAACTAGAACAAGAAACTAGAACAAGAAACTAAAACAAGAAACTAGGACAAGAAACTAGAACAAGAAACTAGAACAAGAAACTAGAACAAGAAACTAGAACAAGAAACTAGAACAAGAAACTAGAACAAGAAACTAGAACAAGAAACTAGAACAAGAAACTAGAACAAGAAACTAGAACAAGAAACTAGAACAAGAAACTAGAACAAGAAACTAGAACAAGAAACTAGAACTAGAACAAGACACTAGAACTAGAACAAGAAACTAGAACAAGAAACTAGAACAAGAAACTAGAACTAGAACAAGACACTAGAACTAGAACAAGAAACTAGAACTAGAACAAGAAACTAGAACAAGAAACTAGAACAAGAAACTAGAACAAGAAACTAGATCAAGAAACTAGAACAAGAAACTAGAACAAGAAACTAGAACAAGAAACTAGAACAAGAAACTAGAACAAGAAACTAGAACAAGAAACTAGAACAAGAAACTAGAACCAGAAACTAGAACAAGAAACTAGAACAAGAAACTAGAACAAGAAACTAGAACTAGAATTAGAACAAGAAACTAGAACTAGAACAAGAAACTAGAACTAGAAAAAGAAACTAGAACTAGAACTAAAACCAGAACAAGGAACAAGAAAGAAGGAGATTTGGGGTTCGTGCTCAAGTAGCAGAATTATAGAAAGAACGAGATTTGGTGTTCGTTCCCGAGTAGCAGAATTAAGAAGTTCAACTGCATCCTAAGGAAGTTGCCACCCAAAACCAAATAGTAGTAACTAGATAGTGGCTAATTTTATTATTGGATATATAAAAGTTAAATTTACCAGCTTAAATTTAATATTTACTATTATCTATGCTCCAAACTACTTTCTCACAAATCTTAAACATCCTGCAAAATATGCAACGAAAGAGCCAAAATAAAGATGCTTTAATTGCGGAAGGATCGGACAACTTCAAAGAACCTATAGAAGCAGGGTGCAGAGTAACAATATCTTTCTTGCTCCAACTCCAATTGTAAAATAGTTTCA